TTTTTATATGCATGTATGTTAAACTTAGTTAAGAGCACGATTTGCAACTATGCAAAGTCATATTACGTATTCTTCACGTGTCAGCATGTTCTTTCTATGCAATGAAAGTCTAAACACATCATGACATTGTTCAGCGGTTACCAGTTGTTCTTGTTAATTAATTCCAAGAATCGAAATGACTGTGAATTAATACAATCGCAATCGCATATAATTGTGTAAATAAATTTGCATGAATATAAGAAATACATTTATGTTGTCAGTACTCAACTACAGATTTTGAAATGACGGAGGATTATGTGACCGAATTCTTCTAAAAAATGTAAAATAACGTAGAACTAGTTACCAGCATTATTCTAAAGAAAAAAAAAATTAAAAAACATTCTTATGTATATAGGTAATAAAATCCTATCGTGTAAAATTTGTTTTCAAATACCTTCTTATCATTTTTACGCTCCGATTTTAATTTACTATTACAATTTGTATTATATCATTAAATTTTTCAACTCAAGTTCTTCTATTGTTGTAAAAAGTATTCTTTGGACACATATGTAATCGAGTATCAACTCATCTGACTTTTCGAACTGTTAATTAAATACTTAGGTGTTTTATTTACATTATTCCCGACTTCCAAACAAAAAGGAGCTACCACAACGTGACTACAAATTGTGCGAAAGGAAACGAAAAATGTGAACATTCTTGTCCACGTGTTCGCACCAGTTGCACACGTTCCCCGCCTTATCCAGTAAACCCTTGACACTTGGACGATTACTTGTACGGCAGCGAGCACTCTAATTAGTTGCGACGCGATCGTATCGTGTGTCATTATTTCGTCGTTGCCGACCAGGGTTACAAATCGCTATTCCAGTGGACTCAACTAAACGTACGCAATGAACGAACTAATCATGTACATTAGGACAGCAAACGGTCGACGTTACATAAGCGCGTAATCTAAACTGCAACATTGAAATACAGTGAGCGAAAAAAGTTTCAGTAAGCACGCAGTTCCTTCGTGATAACGCGGTATAAAATCGCGGCATGTTAATGCAACTGTTTTAAAACTTACTGCGCGCAAAAGCATTGATAATTCTCTATTCAAAGGTTAAAAACAGAAACAAAGTGAAAATCTTGGACTCGATAAAATATTTAGAACAGTATAACGAGTGATCTGTTTTAAAGTGTGAACAGTTCATTCACTAATGTTGCATCACTATCTAAAGAGGATTTTTATGCCAAAACTATTCAATTATTGCAAAAACAAAAAAGTGTACTCATTGATGGCCAAAATAGGAAGAAAGAGTTGAGACATGTGAAAGTAAATTTACATGAATCAATGAGATTTTGGAAAATGCATACAATTTAATATTCTTTCTAAACAATAACCTAAACAATTTAACATTTATGTAATTTATAATACGTAGAGTTCAAATACGTTTTTCTATTAAAATATATTATGTATTATTGTGTAATGCGTATTGGTATTATATATTATTGTGAAATGTGTATTGGTATTATATATTATTGTGTAATGTGTATTAGTATTGTGTATTATCGTGTAGTGTACTTTACTCGTATCGTGCTTTACTCATTCACAATATTGTAAGAAACGTAGTCTGAAGATCATTGCGTACACAAGGAAATAATCTTGGAAAAATATTCAACAGGAAACAAAGATTTTGCGTCTTATGATTACAAGAAATGAACCTCTAAGTATCGATACATTAGATCAGACGTCCCACTAGAATCAGTTTGATATCTTCATCTGTACAGTACAGTTTAAAACGTTGCTCTCTTATGCAACAACGAATGACCTGTAATTCTTCGAAAACAAAAGGAAATAACTGTTGAAGAACTCGTTTTCACTATTTACACGTATTATACAATATTTTACATATTTCTGATACGTGAAATCAAACTGAATACGAAATATGAATACTATTTACTCTAGAAGGACATAAAAAAACTTTTACAAAATTAACACTCTAATGTACGTTTTCTAGCTCTTGTCGATAATTATATACAAAGTGTTCACGTTGTTCTCGTACACGACTCCTGTTCGGGAAAACAGAGGAGGAAAATGCTTCATAGTTTTGCACAAATAATACTATGAATCGTATCAGTCTTCAATACTGACAACAGTTTCTGATTAACGTAAACGACGTTACGGAGATAGGAAGATATATTCCAAATAATGTCATCGTTATAAATAAACCGTTCAAATATTTCCTGCAAACAATATATCCGTAGCTTTACCAAATAATACTGCACGATTCACAGGTTCAACCATAAAAAGTTTTTCTTTTCCGTAGTGTCCACCGTATATTTATTCGTCCGAAAATAATTATCAGCTCAGAAACGTGCTCATAACAAGTCAAACTACACTGCAATGCGGATTATACACAAGAAACTGTCTTAACGTCAAACGCACACTAACAGACAACCATGAAAACAGTGTAAAAATATCAAGCATGCTACAATATTTGAAACAAACCATGCTTTACAATGATTTATAAATCATCTTCCCTCCGTTGCCGTTAACAACCCAAAAGACTGATAAATAAAAAAAGAAAAAACCTATAAATCCTTCCAATATAACATTTCGAACAGACGCCTAATATAAGTAGAACCTAAAAAGAACAAAATTTAATTCACTCCTAAATTTCCATTAATTCTAACATCATCACCGTTTACGGTGTTCCGCGTTAAGTACCATAATTCCCACGAGATAACCGGTGTCGGTCGTATTTTCCGCGAATTCGAAGCCGGAAAAGGAAAGGAAATGAGGAGAAAACGCGACGGACGGGACCGTCCTAATGATTCTTAATGCCTTGTACATACATTTATAACGACGGTATCAGTATTGTAGTCACGCAACACCAGTTACTTTGTGCGTTGCAAACAGACACGCGAATGTGTCGCGGTAATTTATACGATGCGTTCGGTATGTCACTTAACGGAAGTCGAACGCTGTAAGGGAATCAAAGAAAAACAAATTTAAAGAGAAAGGGAAAAGAAAAATAGAAAGAGAGAGAGAGAGAGAAAAAAGAAGAATCGATAGTACAGATGCGAGCGGGAAATCCGTCGAAGAGGTTCGAGCGATAGATTTCAAAATGTGCGACGCGGATCGTGGAAAATACATGACAGATCGATTCGTCGAGCCGCGCCACGTCGTCCGTGGCCGTCCACGTGTCCGCTGATAGAGAAACGTGTATTCGCCGGCATCACCGCTTCCAACACACAAACAAAAAGTAGTTTGACATTGTGTTACGTAAGTTATTTTTAAACGATAGAAGATACGTCAGTTTAACTTGCGGCAATGAATCGCGGAAAACTATGTGCGCGGCCGCCACGAGCTGCGGCCCGTTTGCACGTAATCTCCTCCCTACCTCTCTCTCTCTCTGTCTTTCTCTCTCTTGCTTGCTCTTTCTCCGTAGTCCGAACACCGGATTCGCATTGTACAAAGAAACTTTAATGAACGATTAATTAACGACGTCTCAGGAACGAGTAGGCCGGCGTTAGATTTATTAGCCTGCTGAATTTATCGAAGCATGGCAGGTTGGCGTGCGTGTGCCGGCACTCCGGACGAAATTGCGATTTTCGCTTCGTCTTCATAGGCGCGGGCTGCTTGTGAAATATGCTTTTCAACGTCGGATTTATGGAACTCGTCAATTGGACGGATCTCGAGTTTCATCCGTGAAGCTACAGAAATCATGAATTGTGCTTTTTTTAACGATATACGTTGAGTTTGATTGATGTAACTCATTTTCCTATTGATCATCTAATTTCAAGCATCCGCGTGGCGTGCAGTGGTTGTATAGATTTTTTTTTTATAAGACCGCGGAATCGAAGATATTCGGTCGTTAATGTTAAGAAAACGGAATGGTAGTGATTTTGTAAATATTATTTTTTAGTTATCTGTGTTGACTTTGATTGTTGCAATGATATAAATATTATGAATGTATTAAAGTAACGAGATAATTAATTACTGAGTGTAGAACGCTGATCAAGTTTTATTCACGAAACTTTAAGTGATAATGTTTGGATCGCTGTGAAATTTATTGAGGTATAATACGAATCTAAATTATAATCAATAATTATTTTTCGACCTTGTTATTTTAATTCTTTTTTACGTAGAAAGGGGAAAATATTCGACTTAAACAGAGAAAGATGTAAATAATTTAAAAAAATAATGTGACTGCAAAATCCATGTGCCTACATTATTATGTGTATCAAGAATCTGTGATTGTGAATATATGCAGAACCTTACATTACTTATTTTTTTCTTGTAACATTTTCCTCTAGCATTAGCAGGAAAAAGATGTGGCTTGTTACGGTTGCGTAAATCACACTGTACATCTGTGTAGGTATCATCAAGAATGATAGTTGTCTTGAGTATTTGAAAGTTTTCTGTAATTCTAGTCGTTAATTTGTACCAATTTTTTCAACGTACAAAATCTACAAAGTCTTACACTGAGTCGTTACAATCAGAATTTGATCGATCGAATTATCTGTTGCTGGGATAAATATTGGTCGGCAGAGCTGACAGATGTTTAAAGGAGTCGTCAATAGTGAATCTCTTATCACGTTACAATTCATATTACGGATTGTACCTAAAGTTCTCCAAGTAGCTTATAGAAAATAGTATCCTGCGATTATGAATAATAAAATGAAAGGAAAGAAGATCTATTGTTAGAATATTGATTTCTTTTCATATTTATACCTTTCGTTTGCAATACTTAATACCTAATTGTAATATTCATTAAAATCAATTCGACATTCGAATGAGGAAATAGTCTTCCTACTAATAACATAGTTATTATAAACTATGTCACTTTATTATTACGCCCGTTTCCTACTGACTTTCAGATCTTATCTACGGCATAGACCTGTATGATAAACAAAACTGCAAATGAAATTTACACATCGTAAATTTCCCGGAAGGTACAGTCTTGCCTTTCTATAAATGCGACATTCTAGTCTTTGAATGCGTTTAGAACCAGGTAATGTCACTGGTTCGCGGTTAGTTCAAAACTATAAATCACGTCAGCAGCAAGAGCGAGAGAGTACAAATACAATTGAAACGTTAACCCTCATTTTCAGTTCGCACAATAGCTACATTTATACGGTCCTTACGAAACAGTGGCGGAATTGGTGGATTAGAGAAACGTATTAATGTACTTACATATGTTGAAATATACAGGGTGAATCATAAGAAGTAGAACATTCGAACATCTCTCTGACAAGATTGAAGACTTCCTCTTTAACGTTATTTGCAAGGTTTTTTCAAGGTCGCCGATTTTAGTTCTAAGTAATAGTAATAGTGCCACGGTAAGTTTAACAACTTTATACGCTATAACTTTGAAAGAACCTTGGATTAAGAAATCTGGGTCTTCTATTTTTATCGCCATTATTTAACCAGTAAAATGATATAACTTTGAATTATTTTATAGACATACATATTTATACAGCAAATTATTCACACTTCTCGTATCAAATGGAACGACGCGTTAGGCATACTGTCTTTTTAAATCTATTGCAGCGTGCATTACGTATAGGGTGTTTCAAAAGTTCATGCCACGACCACCACAGTGTAATGCTACACCTTTCTTTCGGTGGAAAAATATACGAGCAAATGTCCGCAAGATTCATTCTAACATTGAAGAAAATGTTAAAATTTGTTATTGTTGCAACATATTCCATTGATTGAGCAAGTAAATAATCCGAAATAAACCATCGGACAAAAATGAATAGTTTGTTTGCAAATCGCTGTCGATTTTCTCATAGGAAATGGATATCCAGTGTTCGTTTCCTATTCAAATTTTTCTTACTCGAACGCCTGCATGACAAATAGTCCAATAGAAAGGAAAATTTAGAAATTTCATGTACCTGATGCATTAGATACTAAATTATTGAAACATGAATACATTCAATTAACGGCAACAATTTGTTGGTGTTAAGTATGTAAATGATTTTGCTCTTCAGTTACTTCACTTTTATACAATTACTGTTTGTACCTTCTCATGCAACAAAAAATGAATTTCTCACGTAAGCAGCGCATTCTATGATACGTTACTCGCACTATTGTCGATCCTTTTGTGATAACGTTAATAAATTACTTATCAAAATTCATGTTGTTCATATAATAAAAAAAATGATGAATTATATACGTAGATTGACAAGGGGAATAGACGAAGTAAATTTTGTAACAATTCTTCGAAGCTACATGTCCCTCATTAATGCGAGTATTCATAAAAATTCATGGAATCAAGAAAAGAATGCAGTCTCATGCGTTTGAATACCGTTTAAATGCTTTAAAGAGTAATTATTGTAATTTTTGTTGAATACATTTTCAAGATTTGCATTCAACCTGCGTGGGAAATAATCATACAACAGGGTATACATAACTTAATATTGAGACGCGTCATTGTTCCGTTTTAATGTAATATACATTTCGGCGAACCGACTCATTATCAGATAAGCCTTCGACAGCAAAGGCGGGAACTCCATCTCAAACATAAGAAAATACGCTGTATCGGTATGTTTTCATTTCGATTTGAAAAAAATATTCTCATTAATTTCCATGTAATGTTTTCTGAAAAAGATTACCGGTGAATGAAACTCGAATTTGTTTTTTAGGTTATCGCGAATTTGTATTCGCATTAAGAAAGGAAATCATTTTAATGTAATTACTTTCGAAACACTCTACTTAGAACCAGCTACTATCTAGAATCGTATTCAAAAAAGGAAAATAAAGAAATGATTAGTAAATTATCACATTATATGGAAGGAGAACAGTAATCTTGCATCTATCAGTGGTTTAAGAAAGCTAAAATTTAATGGAAACGTCATGCATCACGGCTAACCGTATAAATTATGCATAAATTCAAACGTTAACTGTAAAGGTTGTTGAAAGGCGAAAAACCTCGGAAACAAGAAGAGAAAACCCGATTTCAACGCCGTCACGTACAGCGTATTTCCCGGTCGTCTGCTAGGTCGTTTCAAGGGCGGCACAATCAAATTCCCCATCGGTAATTGTTCCCTTTACATACGAATTTACATGTAAACATACGCTACGGTAATGGATACCCGTTTTATGGATTCAATCTGCCGTTCAATCTAAGTGTGCAAATCGATTTAATGTTTTTTTCGTTAAATTGTGTTTCTAGGAGAACCCGAGGAGATTTACTGCTGGCTTTGGATCGAGAGAAGCCTACTTATTGTTTCATCTGGAATCTATCTTCTACTGCGATTTAATATGTATTGCTAATTATTGCATTGTCCGCGTGTATATTTGATCGAGATCTCAATGAACCGTGTGCAATTTACAACGTAAAATGATTCGAGATCCCCCTGATTTCCACGGATTAAGAAGTGTTCGTGTTCCGTGATACTTATTCAAATTTGTGCAGATGCTCGTTACAGACATCTCCATTAACGGAAGTAAATGAACTTCATTAGCATGTAATTTTTGATAAGAGAATGTTTACTTTCTCCGGTAGGTGGATTATAAATAAACTTTATACACCACCATAATTAAGGTGTATTAACGTGTAAACGAAAGCTAATGAAGATGACAATTTTAATGTCAATTGATGCCGATGTGAATGTACGTGTGCACTTCTCTTAATTGGACGGTATAGCGCGACAAGATCATAGAAATATTTTGTACGCGCCTGTCCACATTCTACTGCGCGCATCAACGTAATTGTATAACAGAGAGACACACATCGCTAATTTAAGGAATTGAACTAATTCAATTTTTACATCATAACTTCTATCTTTGAATTCGACAACCAATATAGTTTTTTTGTTTTACATACAAATCCCAGTTTCATTTGAATAATTCCATTCACCTGTTCGAACGATTTGTTTATTAGCCGAAAGCAATCATAACTAAGTTTCATAAACATTAACATGTTGCGTTACGTGATAAACGAAGTATACGAAACATATCAAATTATTGCTATTGAAATAATATTAGAATATTAGTTCAACTACCATCCGCGAACATATCTACGAAATAAAATACAAAAATTAATATAAACTATGAAACCTTTCCTCAATTCAGAGAGAAAACATTGGAAACTATACAGAGTTTCTCGTTAAGTTCAGTTTAACTTTTTTAAATGCAATGTGATGCGTTTATGATAAATATATCGGCGTATTCAGAAATCAGTAAGTACCATCAATTCACTGAATTAGGTGTCTCAGACGCTATACACCGAAATTGAATTAGACATTTTGAAAAACACGATAGTATCGAAGACACGTAAACATATCAAATATATACCTGTACACATACCAAACACAACCAGTATATCCACCTTACTCCTATCTCATCATCAGATAGAACGTTTTATGCCCAATATCTCTTTGCAAACGCGTGAATACGGGCGAAATAATTAAAGACTTTTTTTCTTCTGAGCAAGGTTCAATTAAAATCTCCACGCAACATTTTATCCGGCTCCCGCCCCTGGCTCGAGTGATCCGCCGGCAGGCGACTTTTCTACGTACTATCAGTCACTGCGTTCCTCGCCGGTATACCCAACCGCTCAATTACTTATAACACGAACGGAATGAGGATTAATTAAAGAAAGAAAACAAGTTTGCTGCGGCGGTCGCTGAATAAAAAGTAGCGCAATTAAGGTACGCGGCGGAGGCAACGGAGGGATCCCAATAAGTCATAAACGGACACCTGTCGCGGGGCGAAACAGGTTTCCGTTGTTGCCCGCGCCAATGTGGAATTTGAACTGATTTCCATTCGACCATGCAACGCGTGTCGACTAAAAATCTGTTTTCCTGGTGGATTCACGTTTGGCGAACAAAACAAAAAGAGAGAGTAAGTAGAGAAAGAAAAAGAAGAAGGAGAGGGAGGAGAAGAAGAAGAAGTACAAGAAGACGGAGAAGAAGCAGAAGACCGGAGGAGAAGAAGAAGAAGAAGAAGAAGAAGAAGAAGAAGAAGAAGAAGAAGAAGAAGAAGAAGAAGAAGAGGATGAAGAAGAAGAAGAAGAAGACTAAAGAAGAAGAAGAAGACCAGAGATGAAGAAGAAGAAACGCGCTGGGCGGAACAGGTGAACGGGCTCACACCGATCGACTTCACATGATTTCGCCGAACGCGGCGACGCAAGGTTATCACGCGGAACACAGCTTTAATTATACGATACATTTACTTTGTGCCCGAGAATTCGAAGTCGCTCGCCGGTTCGGCCACAGAAACCGCTCCCGAAGCTTTATCTGGGGATATGATCAGGACAGTAAACGTTCCCGCGGCTAAGCCTCATCGTCGTTACGTTGACAGTATAATTGGTATCCCTGGGCAGGTGCAAGTCTTACCTTTTACACGTAAAATGCTCCTTGGAGGGCAACAACCGATTATTAAGCTAATTCACAGTTTTGCCGTTCCTATCGGGTCCCATGAATGAAACGTGAGAATCCCGGCCCGATTTTCAAATTCCGCGCGCAAACTCTTCTGTCGTTACTCCT